GGCTAACTCTAGCCAATCAGGCTGAGGCAAAATTGTTTCAGCTCGAAATGTTTTGAAATATTGATTTTTGGACGGAGTAAATAAAAAGACACCCGTTTTGTTTTAAATTATTTTTTGAACTCGGAGACAGTATTTCTGTTGGGCTGACTGCACGACATGAGTTTTCGCTGTTCGAAGAAATAAATAATTTAGGAGTTATTTTATTATAAACGCCTAAACCAAACCTCATTCTGTGTTTGCGCTAAATTGGTCTTAACATTCAAAACTTAAAACGTCTTCATTCGGCCTTGAGACATTTTCCTTGGAGTTCAATGGAGTTCATTATTGTAGCTCAAATTATGGCTGGATGGAGTTGAATACAATTTGTTCCGCAACTTGCTACGTTGCTTCATTGGTTCACACTTAAATGAAAACAAGTTCCGAGGTTTTTCAAATTTTAGTCTAATGACCACAGAATTTTTTTCAGCTGATCATCAATTAAAATCAGCTATTCCCTTCAGTGTACATGCTAAATAAGTGTATGCTGTCATACAAATGTTTATGTTGAAAATTTGATTATCGATTAGATGAAAGTTCTGAAAAGAGTTCGTAGCTCTGATTCAAATTGTAATCCAATTATTTTTGAAAGACAATAGATTTGGTCTGTGTAGTTTCGAGTAGTTTTGATGACCTATCAGATAAATGGAAGGGAAAGTTCTCAGTCCAGTTTTGAGCAAATTATTTTAGAAATACAATAGATTTGGTTTGCTCTGATTCAATTTGAGTTGCTTAAAAATGACTTTTAACTGAACCAGCCAATAAATTTTAGTGTGCCATCAATTAAGTCAGGTCATCTTTCGAAGATGCCCAACCACAAAAACAGAAATCAATGTCAAGTTTGTACCCACCGGCGGATTTAGGAGGGGAGGGCGAAGGGGGGGGGGGGAGTTGGATGCCTCTTACCTCAGGAATTCGACCCCCTGCCGACCCAAAGGACCCCCTTTGTACCATTTGAGACGTCCATTTTTGGCTGACTGACCCTAAATATTTTCTAAAAGCACTAATTTTGAGGGGGGAACGCGCGCCGAACAAACGCAATTTTTTGGTCAAAATTTTCCAAAAAGTGCCTAAAAACGCTTTTTTTGGCCTGTTTTTTCAAAAATTTGCCTGCGGCGCAGTAAATTTGGTCAAAATGGGGTCCTTATAAAGGTTTGGGAGAGCTCAGAAAATAAATTTGGTCGACTTAAAAAAAAAAGAAAAAGGTCGACAAATTTTTTGATTTTTTTTTGAAAATCGGCCCTCCCTTCCCCCCGAGAAAATCCTAGATCCGCCCCTGCAGGTCACAATTTTTTAAGTCATTTTTTGAAATGTTTTGTTAGAAAATTTGCTGTCACCAAGTGCGCTTTTTGAAAAAATTTTACTGTCTGTCAGTTAAAAATGGACCTCTTAAAATAGTACTAAAAGGCGGATCTTTTGAGTGCTCAATGGGGTCGAATTCCTGAAGGAGGGGAGGGCGTTGAAATCGTGAGGGGAAAACCCCCTTCCCCGCTCCCATCCGTAAATCAACTACTGATTGTTAGATGAGACAACTTTTGCTGTAGGTTCCGATCATCCTAGCCCTGCAGGGTCTGTGCTTTTACATCCCTCGCACAGTGTGGCGTGCATTCTGCATGTCAGCTGGGATAGACATCGACAAGATAGTGAACACTGCCACCACATTCGAGAGTGTGTTGAACCCTGACTTGTGGGACAAGACGGTGAGGTATCTGGCCAGACACTACGACAGATACCTGGACGCACAGAGAGATCCAGGGGTGGGACTACTCGCAAAGGTAGGCTTGCAGTAATATTATGTTTGCAACATGCATCACGTATAAATTTCATTATGACTTTTTCCGTTAAAAACTTTGTTGACGTAAATCTTCTGCTGAACTCCGCAAGTGATTTAATTAGTATATCAATTTTCCTCTACTAGTTTTGCCCGTTAGGCGTAAATGCAAGGACCATGCTCATGCTGCAGACGACTAAGATTCTGGGTGCAATTCCGGTTTTTTAATTACGAAAAATTTAATAGTCGGACCATTGTTTGCCTGCTTATTTTTTGCCAGCTTACTCTCCAAAGCATAATTTTTTCTATGGGCAATTTTTGTTATAACTGAAAATTGATTTGTTTTTTTTTTCTGAAATTTGTATTGGCCAAATTTTTTATGGGTTCAAATTATATCGGCTTAGTCACCTTATTACATCGTTTAAAAAGCAAAAAAAACAGTGTGTGCGTGTTTCAGGTTGAGAGTTTCAATTTTTTATAGCGACATTTTTTTGCATCACAATATTTTGTTTTTGTTTCAACTAACGTCTACTTGCATGGTATATTGAGCTTAGTTTCAGGGTGACCTTCTAATAGACTAGTTTCGGATAAGGCACACCGTCTGTTCGTCATGCTCTTTTATTTTCGACCGAATAGATTTGTGCAACTTCTTAGTCTAATATCAATCCTAATCTTTCTCTTATATTTCCTAGTCTCAATAGAGCTAGAATATACTGGTATTCTTGCGAGGCTAGAGGAGAGAAGAAAGCAATTGATTTCTATTTTTGCAACTGGTTTTAAATGAAACAGTGGTAAATATCGAAGCTTATAATAAAAACTTATTTTGAACTGGTTCCACCCATCCGGGGTTTAAGAAATTTTTTAAATCAAAGTTTTTTTGTGAGGGAGGGATGGAGTATCTTCTAAATTCTCAAATTGTTTAAGGAGAGTGTAAATTGACTGTGTTTGCGAAGTAGATGAGGTGATGTTGAAGGATTGTTGCAGATTTGTGTGTTGTATAGTGTTGATTTCGTAGGTTAGAGCGAGACTACGTGCCTTCTCAACTGTTTGTTCGTGATTGATCGAGTAGCGAGAGAGGGGGTTGACTTCTCTGAGTGAAGCGCCAAGTAAAAAGGATAAATATATTTTGAGTTTTAACACAGAGTTGGCCAGGGATACCTTTACTGCGATGTTCGCTCCTTACTTTATGTCCAATGAGGTTGTGACTGCGGCAAGCAAAACCAATGAATTTGCCATTCCCTAGTCAAATGTCGTCGAGTTTTCATCTCCCTTTTGCTCTCTGAAATCCTTACAATCTATATATCTGCACTTTTAGTAATTCAGTTTAAGTTATGATCTTATTAGTTCTTTTCGCAGAAGTTTTTTAAGTTTTTTTAATTTATTTCAAAGAGTTGTTCACTGCTGTTTTTGTGTTTTTTATCATAAAAAACGTTGATTTTTACTGTTCAAACACGCTTTCGCTGGCTAGGAAACATATATACCTAATCTGCTACGAAATATATATACCTAATCTGCTACGAAAAATTAAAAGTTTAGAATTAATAAAATTAGAAACTTCATCTTTTGATCAATAGGACAGTAAGTACTACTTGGCGATTTTAACAAACGCAATTAAACGCCGAGACCCATTTTGTTTAAAAACATAATTTAACGTTCATTAGTTGTCACACAATTGGCTCTAATTGGAAAATGAGGAAGATGAAAAAATTCTTAAATAAATTTTTCATTTATATTCTCCTTGTTGGTATATTCACAAAAGAAAAGATAATTTTTTTTTCTCTATTGTGCTTTTTGAGCAGAATTACAGAACAAAACCTAAATTAATTAAAACTGCAAGAAACTGGAGTTCCATGTGTGTATTTTGTAATAAATTTGAGTCTTAGAGAACGATTAAGTTATGATAGTTTTTGAGTGGTTAAGATTGTAGAGACTATTTATGCTCGAGAACCTCTCTTTCTCTTTCAAATACAATTTCAATGCAAAAGTATACAAATGTATGGCTTAATAAAATTAAGTTTTTTATGGTTCATTCAACGTTAACATCGTTCTGTTTTCAGTTTCATTATGAAAAAAAAATTTAATGAGATTTCGAAAAAAATTTAGCACGCATAAACGTTATTAGTAATACATAAAAGTTCTCTAATTGTTTTCGGGTTGACAATTCCGGCAGAATTTTTGCCGTCATAGTTGGTATATAGAGACTGCTTTTCGAATTTGCAAACGATAATTTCGATGAAAGCAAAAATTGAAGCATTTCTTCGTACTTTTTTGGCTTCGTTTTTTCGCTTGAATTTTTTTGTCTCGGCTGCTCAATAGGTATTTTTAATCAAGTTAAATATTTATTTGCCTCGAAAAAACTTTGAAAGAAAATTTGTTATACTTTTTACGGAAAAATTTTAGTCTGCATTGTGTTGAATCAGTTTAGTAGTTTAGATGTACCTTAGGGCGGTAGGAAGCAGTTAATTGGCCAACTGTTTTGCGCAGTGTAGAAGAAATCATTGATCTTTGGTTTGCATTAAATTTTCCATGGATTGTTTTGGCTTACTACTCTTGTGATAAGCAAAAGTATTGCAATCTGGTACTAGACTTTTTCCCCGTAAATATTTTTAGGAACAGGGGATCTTCACTTCTAGGGGATCTTCAGTTGTAGTGGATCTTCACTTCTAGAGGATCTTTTGACATGCTCAATTTCTTAAAAATTCAAATAAAAGTATTAGTACTCAAGTAGTAATTAATACAAGCCCGTTTTAGTTTGTAATTATCTTTTCAAAAACTTTCTGGTTTTTTTGGGTTTATGGCTTTTATCCTAGTTTCTGTCAGTTTTTTTTTCATTTTTCAACGTCATTTTTTATCTGGTAGAGTTTTATTGGTTTACTTTTTAAAGCATGGGTTTTATTCCGATTTAAACTGTTCTTATTATAACTGAAAATCACAAACCATATTTTTCCTTCAAATATTCAAACAGTTTCAGTTTATGTTATATCGACTTAGTCTGCTGTTTTTGCGTTATTTCTAGGGCAAATAATATCCGTTTGGGATTATGTGTATCAGCTTGGATGGACCGTAAAAACTTTTCTATGACAACATTTTTTTCGGCTCAACGGGTTTCGACCCAAAGTTTGTCGCCTTTGTTGCCGCTTGGTTATCAATTTTCATTTTTCTAAGGGCTGCTTAAGGACTTCATTCAATACAACTATAGATGTTGCTGACTTTTACCTCTTTTTTCATTCACTAATTTTAGCGCAATATGTTTTTTGCAACGCCAGTGTTCCAGAGCTCCGCTTAGCATCTGTGTGAAACTTTTCTATTTTTGCTGTTTGTCCTGCATAAAAGATTACAATTCTATTTGTTTTGTCTTTAAAAATTGTATTACCTTGTTTATTATTTCCAGCCTCTGTAAAACCTTTTTACTTCACCTTAAATCACAAAAATAAGAACAGCTTAAAACATACAAAAAACCAAAATTGACTTGTTTTTGCTGAATCAAATGCAAATTTTGTAGATAATTACTTATTTAAAAATCACTAAAAAGTCAGATTTTAGTTTTTGAAAAATACTTGATTAGGCGGTAGTTGAGCCAAAAAATTAAATTGTTTTAATAAAAAATGGTGAAACTTACAGATCCTTGCTTGAAACACATAAAGCATCATCTATTTTTGCATTTCAAACAATTCAATATTAGTTCAAAACAATCCTAACCAAGTTTCGCGATTGCATGAAAAAGTAAAAAAAAACGTTTTTCGTTTTAACAAAAGACGCAGTCATGTAAGTTATTACGAGGTCGAAAGATATAGTCAGTGTTTTAAGAAAGGAATCAGTGTTTTAAGTCCCTGTTTCTTTTTTTTATCAGGTTCGTATTCTCTTCTCTCGGATGCTGTGTGTGTTCTCGAGGAGGTACGGAAACTACCTCAACGTCTTCTACCTGGGCACGAAGATCCTCTACCTGCTCAATGTATACGGACAGCTGTTCATCCTAGGAGAATGGCTCGGTTAGTTAGCTTCTTATGCCCCCTACCCTCCTCCCCTCCATCGGCTGCATCAATCCATCTATGAGATCTTACATAATTCACTTCTGTTCATCGGGTCCATTTGTGAGACTGTGGTCTAATGTCTTTTTATAAATATGTTTGCTCTGCGTATCATTAAGTTTAAAAGTTTACTGTTTGAACCAAAAAATGATGGTCGTATGAGTTGAGTGAGGAAAAAGCAGCAAATATCAGTGTTCATAAGCACTGTGTGGGTCTCTAAGTTTTGGATTTGATTTGGATTTGTGGCAGGGTTGGATTATGTTTTGGAGTTAGACGCTCTATCAATTCGACTCCTTCGCATGACATTTATTTTCGCAAATGGCCTTGAAAAAATCGGTTATGACTTTAGAAAAGTCAACGAACCAAAAGTCCGCTTACCTCGCAAAACTCTATATTCACACCTTAATGATGGTAGTTTTTAGACGCTATCGTTGAACTGAAAGTCGAATCGGTATAATAGAACCGAACGAAAATTAATCAGAATATTTCAAATTAATTTGATCATCATTTTTACAATATTATTTGAGTGTTAGTTAATAAAAGAGAACAAGACTGCTCGTATCAGGGCGAAGCCCTGAATGTTCCGACTGCTTTTTAAGGTTTATTGAGCAGCAGTAATACATAAAAAAAATAAATGGAATAAAACAAAATGAATTTTTTTGTCTAAAATTTGAAATTTTTTATGAAAATCATCCCCCCACACGCCATATAAAGTACAACAAGACTGCTCGTATCAGGGCGAAGCCCTGAATGTTTCGACTGCCTTTTAAGGTTTATGGAGCAGCAGTAATAACATAAAAACTTAAATGAAATAAAATAAAATGAAAATTTTTTTTTCTAAAATTTGAATTTTTTAATGAAAATCATCCCCCCACAGTAGAAAAACATAGATTTCGTTCCTTAAAACAAATCAATTATGGCAAATAAGCTTCGTTCAACCAATTTGGAACAATTTCTAAGACGGATTAAATCTCCGCTTACGCGTTAATAGCGCGAATTACATCGCTCGTTAATTGTCCCAAATTGGTCAAAATGGCAATCTTTTAACCCTCATAACTTTACGAAAAATGATCACTCTTTACGAATGAAATACCTTTTCAAATTCAAGCTCAGGACAACAATGGCTTTCGAATGATATAAAAAAATTTCGTCAAAAATGGCTAGTTAAAAAGTCGAAATTTGTCTGAAGAAAAAAAAACCAACCCCGAGCACAAATATTCCGTTACTTTCGTATCGAAAGTCGGAACAACTAGATTATTAAATGAAAGATTGGTAGCACTTTTGTTCAGGTTTCACGTAATTGTTCCGACTTTCGATAAGAAAGTAACGGAATATTTGTGCTCGGAGTGGGTTTTTTTTTCTTCAGACAAATTTCGACTTTTTAACTAGCCATTTTTGACGGAATTTGAAAAGATATTTCACCTGTGATCATTTTTTGTTAAGTTATGGGGGTTTAAAAATTGCCATTTTGGCCAATTTGGGACAATTAACGCGCGATATATTTCGCGCTATTAACGATTAAGCGGAGAGTTAATCCGTCTTAGAAATCGTTCCAAATTGGTTTAACGAAGCTTATTTGCCATAATTGATTTGTTACAAGTAGCGAAATCTATCCTTTTGTACTTTATATGGCGTGTGGGGTGATTTTTTTTTATAAAAAAAAATTTCAAATTTTTGAAAAAAAAATTCATTTTGTTTTTTTACTTTTAATTTTTTGATGATTTTACTGCTCCAAAAACGTGAATGGGCAGTCGGAACATTCAGGGCTTCGCCCTGATACGAGCAGTCTTGTTTAATTTTCTTATTGCCGTGTCATTTTGCAATAAAAGATTTTCTGGAGGTGACGTGTATATGGCGTGTGGGGTGATTTTTTTTTATAAAAAAAAATTTCAAATTTTTGAAAAAAAAATTCATTTTGTTTTATTACTTTTAATTTTTTGATGATTTTACTGCTCCAAAAACGTGAATGGGCAGTCGGAACATTCAAGGCTTCGCCCTGATACGAGCAGTCTTGTTTAATTTTCTTATTGCCGTGTCATTTTGCAATAAAAGTTTTTCTGGAGGTGACTTGTGTTTCAGGAGATGGCTACTACTATTATGGGTTCGAAGTGGCCAATCAGATCCTGGAGGGTAAGGACTGGACCAGAGACGGCAGATTTGCCCGAGTCACACTCTGCGACTTCAAGATCAGAACTGTCGGTTAGTTGTCGTTAAAAACCTCCTTGCCTTCCAAATTGCGAAACAGATAAGCTTTTGGAACTTCACTAGTGGCGAAAGTTAAGTTAAAAACAAGGTAGAACCATCAAATCGGTATAATAGAATCGAACAAAAATTAGTCAGAATATTTCGAATTAATTTCAGCATCATAATTTAGTGTTATTTGTGTGTTAGTTAAAAAAACAGAACTATATAGATTATTAAATTGTTAAATTATATCAAACTTTTTGTGTTTCTTTTAATATGAAGCACAAGAAGGTAAGAATATAAGGGACATTTTTGAGCTCATCGCGTAAAATCAAAAGCCAAAATGATTTGATCGACTTTTTCTACCGAATTCATTCATCTTTTTCAAATAACTTCGTTTGCATATTTGCTGATATTATAACTCTATGCGAAACCATCTTGCAGATAACTAATAGCCTCTTACGCACTAAACGGCCGAGGAACAAACAACAAACAAACTATTTAGGTTTTAAGAATTCAACATTAACTACCATATTTTGAATAGCTTAAAACAAGCTTCACAGCAGACATTAAAATTAATATATTTCTTTTTGGCTTGTTAATGTAGAATATTCGAAATGCATATTTTTTTTTACAGAAAAGGTTGTCAATATTTTATCCGCCTGAAATATTCAACCACATTAGTTTCAGCTCAGATGTAAAAATTGTGATTTTTGAACGTTTAGGGCATAAGACCCAAGTGCTGTTTGTTTTTATGTCATCCTTACATTTGACCCAAAATCCACGTGTCCATTCAGTGCTAAAATGTCTTAAAAATGTAGAAGCTCATAATGTATGTTTGTACTCGTTCTACGTCATTCAAAATTACGACAAACATCTTGCTGAAGATTTTGTTCCGACCAAGTCACTCGAAGTGAGTGGAAACGACTATGGTGTATGCTGTTCAGTCGCAAAGAAAGCTCCCAAGGGGTCTAGTATTGTTTTATGCTACAGTTTCCTCGGTCTTTATTTTAGATTTCAAAAAAATTCAAAAAAAAAGTTGTCTCAGTTTCGAGAAAAATTGATCCGAGTTTGTTCAGTTTAGATTTTCGCTGCAAATAGACTAAGTCAGGCGAGAGACATCACTCCCAATTGAATTTTACAACGTTTTTTACGTTTTTTAAGAGATTAGTAACTCTCTCTTTTTTGCAGTTTGCGCAACTAATTAATCGCCTTTGCACAGAAAAAAATAAGGAAAAAATTTTAAGATTTAAAATTTGCCTTTTTATGAACTTTTTATATTAAGTCTTTGTGTTTGGAACCTTCTGCGTCTCTTACAAAACAACCCGTTGTTCTTGTTAGACAATGAATTTTATCAGGAGCAGGTTTTGAATGTTTAAATAGTTTTTTTTAGCATCACTGAATAGTTTTATCGAGAAAACCACAATTTGAAATATCAAGCTAATTGTTTTTTTTATCCCACCAGACAATAAGTACTAACAATACAACATGAGGCACTTAGCATAGTGGTTAGGCGTTCACTTAGAGATCGTCAGATCGTGTAAGCGATCCCCTGCAATGGCAATGATAATATGTGAGGACGAGCTCTCACTTGACCTCTAGCTTTAGGTCTACCACAGCCTGAACGATTACGGCTGCAATAGTGGTACCACGTGGAAGCTCTAGACGCGAAAAAAACGGCCTCGATTAGCAAAAAACGAGCTTCGCTCAACAAAAAAACTTGGTCCGGAGTGTGGGGAAATTAGAGAAACGGACTATGCTTAGACAGGCTAGATAGCTTTTCATAGATCCTCTGCGAATCGCAGAAAGTACAATTATTGTTCCGACTTTCGATACGAATGTAACGGAATATTTGTGCTCGGGGTGGGTTTTTTTTCTTCAGACAAATTCCGACTTTTTAACTAGCCATTTTTGACGGAATTTTTAAAAATCATTCAAAAGGTTTTGTTGTCAAGTTGAGCTCAAACTTGAAAAGATACTTCACCTGTGATCATTTTTCATAAAATTATGGGGGTTTAAAGATTGCCATTCTGGCCAATTTGGGACAATTAACGCGCGATATATTTCGCGCTATTAACTCTTAAGCGGAGAGGTAATCCGTCTTAAAATGGTTCCAAATTGGTTGAAAGAAGCTTGGTTGCCATAATTGATTTGTTACAAGGAGCAAAATCTATCCTTTTGTACTTTATATGACGTGTGGGGGGATTTTTTTTTATAAAAAAAAAAGAATTTCAATTTTTAGAAAAAAAAAATCATTTTTTTTTGTTTTATTTTTAGTTTTTTTTTGTATTACTGCTCCATAAAGCTTTAAAAGGCAGTCGGAACAATCAAGGCTTCGCCCTGATACGAACAGTCTTCTTGTTCCGACTTTCGATACGAAAGTAACGGAATATTTGTGCTCGGGTGGGTTTTTTTTTCTTCAGACAAAATTCGACTTTTTAACTAGCCATTTTTGACGGAATTTTTTAAATATCATTCGAAAAGTATTGTTGTCCTGAGCTTAAGTTTGAAAAGATATATAACCTGTGATCAATTTACTTAGATTTTTTTGAGGGTTTAAAGATTGCCACTTTGGCCAATTTGGGACAATTAACGCGCGATATATTTCGCGCTATTAAAGCGTAATCGGAGAGTTAATCCGTCTTAGAAATCATTCCAAATTGGTTGAAAGAAGCTTATTTGCCATAATTAATTTGTTTTAAGGAACGAAATTTATGTTTTTCTACTTTATATGGCGTGTGGGGGATGATTTTCATAAAAAAATTCAAATTTTAGAAAAAAAATTTTTCATTTTATTTTATTTTATATAATGTTTTTATGTTATTACTGCTGCTCCATAAACCTTCAAAAGCAGTCGGAACATTCAGGGCTTTGCCCTGATACGAGTAGTCTGGTTGTTCCGACTTTCGATACGAAAGTAACGGAATATTTGTGCTCGGGGTGGGTTTTTTTTTTCTTCAGACAAATTTCGACTTCTTAACTAGCCATTTTTGACGGAATTTTTTGGTATCATTCGAAAGCTATTGTTGTCCTGAGCTGGAATTTGAAAAAATATTTCTTCTGTGATCATTTTTCGTAAAGTTATTTGGGTTTAAAGATTGGGATTTTGGTCAATTTGGGACAATTAACGAGCCATATATTTCGCGCTATGAACGTGTAAGCGGAGAGTTAATCCGTCTTAGAAATTGTTCCAAATTGGTTGAAAGAGGCTTATTTGCCATAATTGATTTATTACAAGGAACGAAATTCATCCTTTTGTACTTTATATGGCGTGTGGGGGGATGATTTTCATAAAAAAACTTCAAATTTTAGAAAAAAAAATTTTCATTTTTTTTACATTTAATTTTTTAATGTTTCTACTGCTCCATAAACCTTAAAAGGCAATCGGAACATTCAGAGCATCGCCCTGATACGAGCAGTCTTGTTATTTTTATCAGCCTTTTAGGTTATTGAACTAAACATTTGCCGCAACTAAATTTTGAATGATTTTGGTTGCTCAATAATTCGCTGCGCTGCAATAATATGCGCTTACGCGTTGAGCATCGTATTGGTTAAGTTGCCAAGTTCCAGCGTCTTAAAGATACCAAAAGTGAATGCAGGGAAAATATTTTTAGATTTAATTTCAAGGAGACTATATAGGTCTAAAAAATCAACCCCGATCATCAAATAGTCTATTTTAATCAAAAGACATCTCGTAAAAGATGTTTTCGCTTGCGAGAGCAAGTGATTTTAGATCAGGAACTAATTATTTTTCCAATTAAGCGGCAGGTCTCGGGTTCTTAGTCCCGGCTGGACCTTATTTTTTTTAACGCATATCTATTCATGCATGTATGCCTTGCTTTGTTGTGAAATCTCGGCACTTTTCTGGTCCTTTTCACTTAATCTAGAAGTAAATAACGCGGCTTCGGAACGCGCCATAGACTTTTTCCTAGATTATTCTTCAAAATACTTTCCTGAAAATGGAGGTCATTCGAGACCAAACTTATGAGCATTTTGTAGTTCTTGAATTTCAAAAACTTCTCATTGACTAAGTTGCTTTCATTTCATTTTTCTGTCTGCTAAAAAATGGTGTTTTTGTGTTGTATCGCCTCTCTGTCGAAGTATGAACTTTTAAGTGAGCAGTAATCAGAGTTTTTCTAATGTAAGATAAAAACTACAAACGAAAATTAAGACCGCAGAAAGTCATCAAAAACACCGAACCTTGTTCACTATTACGCCCCCCTATGCATGTTTTTTTCAATTTGTATTTCTGTATAAAACTTGCATTTCAAAATGTCACTAATTTAATGGGTTTTCATTTTTGCGCGTTGGTATTTGTATTACTCACTATTTACATAATGCCTACATAGGAAGTTTTAATGAAATATACTTTCTAAAATTGTCTGAAGCTATTAAAAATATGGCCGCCAAAGTTTTTTTCTGATATGGAAATAGAGGAGAATTAGTTTACAAAATACCAACCACCTTAATTTTTCTATTGCCATTTGAAGTGCCTGAAGTGTTTTGTTTTTGGTCTGACAACTACTTGACAACATTTTGCAAAAAAAAGAAAAACAATTTCTGCTTTTGTTTTCAGATACTGCTGAGAGTTTTCCCCCTACCCAATAAGAAGCTTAAAACTAATTGTTGTTCCGACTTTCGATACGAAAGTAACGGAATATTTGTGCTCGGGGTGGGTTTTTTTTTTCTTCAGACAAATTTCGACTTTTTAACTAGCCATTTTTGACCGAATTTTTTGGTATCATTCGAAAGCTATTGTTGTCCTGAGCTGGAATTTGAAAAAATATTTCTTCTGTGATCATTTTTCGTAAAGTTATTTGGGTTTAAAGATTGGGATTTTGGTCAATTTGGGACAATTAACGAGCCATATATTTCGCGCTATGAACGTGTAAGCGGAGAGTTAATCCGTCTTAGAAATTGTTCCAAATTGGTTGAAAGAGGCTTATTTGCCATAATTGATTTATTACAAGGAACGAAATTCATCCTTTTGTACTTTATATGGCGTGTGGGGGGAT